ACGAAACGCTGCCCTGGGTGGGGGAACCGCATGCGAACACCCCCACTGGGGCCTTCGGTGGAGCTCCCTATGGGGCCACGAAACGCTGCCCTGGGTGGGGGAACCGCATGCGAACACCCCCACTGGGGCCTTCGGTGGAGCTCCCTATGGGGCTACGAAACGCTGCCCTGGGTGGGGGAACCGCATGCGAACACCCCCACTGGGGCCTTCGGTGGAGCTCCCTATGGGGCCACGAAACGCTGCCCTGGGTGGGGGAACCGCATGCGAACACCCCCACTGGGGCCTTCGGTGGAGCTCCCTATGGGGCTACGAAACGCTGCCCTGGGTGGGGGAACCGCATGCGAACACCCCCACTGGGGCCTTCGGTGGAGCTCCCTATGGGGCCACGAAACGCTGCCCTGGGTGGGGGAACCGCATGCGAACACCCCCACTGGGGCCTTCGGTGGAGCTCCCTATGGGGCCACGAAACGCTGCCCTGGGTGGGGGAACCGCATGCGAACTGGGGCCTTCGGTGGAGCTCCCTATCCCTATGGGGCCTTCGGTGGATGGGGAAACGCTGCCCTGGGTGGGGGAACCGCATGCGAACACCCCCACTGGGGCCTTCGGTGGAGCTCCCTATGGGGCCACGAAACGCTGCCCTGGGTGGGGGAACCGCATGCGAACACCCCCACTGGGGCCTTCGGTGGAGCTCCCTATGGGGCTACGAAACGCTGCCCTGGGTGGGGGAACCGCATGCGAACACCCCCACTGGGGCCTTCGGTGGAGCTCCCTATGGGGCCACGAAACGCTGCCCTGGGTGGGGGAACCGCATGCGAACACCCCCACTGGGGCCTTCGGTGGAGCTCCCTATGGGGCCACGAAACGCTGCCCTGGGTGGGGGAACCGCATGCGAACACCCCCACTGGGGCCTTCGGTGGAGCTCCCTATGGGGCTACGAAACGCTGCCCTGGGTGGGGGAACCGCATGCGAACACCCCCACTGGGGCCTTCGGTGGAGCTCCCTATGGGGCCACGAAACGCTGCCCTGGGTGGGGGAACCGCATGCGAACACCCCCACTGGGGCCTTCGGTGGAGCTCCCTATGGGGCCACGAAACGCTGCCCTGGGTGGGGGAACCGCATGCGAACACCCCCACTGGGGCCTTCGGTGGAGCTCCCTATGGGGCCATGAAACGTGTGAGGGGTGTGCCGAAATGGGTGGTGGGGAGGCATGCGAACCCTAAGAGGGAGGAGGGCGAGGAGGAGGAGAAACGCGGGGCACCGTCTCTTCAAAACGAGGACCCAACACCACAGGATGGTTGGGAAAAATTATAATAAACAAAATGGTGTTTGTAGTAGTGGTAGTCGCAGAAATAGTACGAGTCGAATTAACATAGTAGTAGTAGCAGAGATAGTAGTAGTGGTAATCGTAGTAGTAGTAGTAGTAATTGTCGTAGTGGGCGTAATAGTCGTAGTAGTGGTAGGTCGCAGTAGCCGGAGTAGTACTAGCATCCGTAGTTGTAGTCCTCGTGGTAGTAGCCGTAGTGGTAGTAGAAGCAGTTCTAAGGACACAAGTAGTAGTAGTAGTCGTCGTCGTCGTAGTAGTAGTAGTAGTTGTAGTAGTCGTAATACTAGTAGTAGTAGTAGTAGTAGTAGTAGTAGTATAGTAGTATTAGTATTAATATTAGTATTAGTATTAGTAGTAGTAGTAGTAGTAGTAGTAGTAGTAGTGGTAGAAGTAGTAGTAATAGTAGTCGTAGTAGTAATAGTCGTAGTAGTAGTAACAAATGATAATAGAAGTAAGGTCGGCCGTAACAATAGCGGTCGAAATTGTACTCGTCATTGAAGTGGTGGTAGCAGTCGTAGTAGTCGTACTAGTAATAGAAGTAATAGTAGTAATAGTAGTAGTAGTAGTAGTAGTAGTAGTAGTAGTAGTAGTAGTGGTACAAGTACTAATAGGTAGTAGTAGTGGTCGTAGTAGTGGTCGTAGTCGTAGTACTAGTAGTAGTAGTAGTAATCATAATACGAGCAATCGTGATGTAGTAGTAGTAGTAGTAGTAGTAGTAGTCATAGTGGTAGTCGTGGTAGCACTAGTAGTAGCGTTAATGGTAGCCGCCGTAGTGGTAATGGTCGTACAGAGGGTAATAGTAGTCGGGGTAGTCGTAGTAGTGGCAGCCGTGGTAGTGGAACTGGCAGTAGTAGTAGAAGTAGCAATAGTGGCACGTATCAGCAGCAATAGTAATAGTAGTAATACTACTAGTAGTAGTAGTCGTAATAATCGGTTTCGTGTTAGCCGTAGAACTCGTACTGGCAGTAGTCGTAGTAGTCGTAGTAGTAGTAGTAGTAGTAGTAGTAGTAGTAGTAGTAGTAGTAGTAGTCTTGGCACTAGTAGTAGTAGTAGTAGTAGTAGTAGTAGTAGACATAGAAGTAGTAGTAGTGGTAGTAGTAGTGGCCGCAACAGTAATAAGATATAGTATTAACAGTCGTAGTTGCAACCGTAGGTCGCAGAAGTGGTGTTAGTGTTCGTGGTAGACGTATTAGGGGCAGTCTTAGTAGCACCAGTCGCAGTAGTAGTAGTAGTAGTAATAGTAGTAGCAGTAGTAGTAGTAGTAGTGGTAGTCATAGTCGTAGTAGTAGTAGTAGTAGTAGTAGTAGTAGTAGTAGTATTCGTGGAAAGTTGCACTAGTAGAAATATT